TTCTTAATCACCCCCTTCAACGCTGAAACGGACTCAGCATCGTCAATCTTCACCTCGAACACGCTTCTCGCCGCACCAACGATCGCACACTTGAGCTTTATCATTTTACCTCAAGGCGGCGACTTCTGGAATGGTGGGAGAATTTCTAGAGTACTTAAGCGGACATGAAGGTGTGTGACCAAAACTTTCAAACCTCGAAGGTTAAATTCTAATTGTTGTTAAAATTTGTCAGCAGTGATTCCCAGGTCTCAATATCAGTGAGGAAATTAACATGTTACTCTACTTTAAGTACTCAGCGATGATAACTGGAATATGTCGTGTCGAGGCAAGTACGAGGGTGATGAAGTTCAGATTACGTACGGTGAGAAGTTGCTGTCTTAAAGGCTTGCTAGATGTAGGAGTTCCTGGTTTGCTTTTCATTCTCGACCCATTTTTCTGGCAGCTTCGATGTATACTGCATGCTAGGAAACCTCAATACTTTAGCTTTTCAAAACGATTTGAAATGAATGCGAGGAACTTCAAGCCTAGCTTGCGACTTTCACGTGAGGTGCTGGAAGAAATGGCTTAAAACAGCATTCGCTGTTCAAATTTCGATCTCCTCAAGATTCTGTTCTTGATTTATATCAAAATTGCTTTAAAGATAATCAGGCTATGGCACAAAGACATCAATTGCTGAAATATCGATATTCGGTGCGGCTGCTGCACTATATTCGATTCAGCTATCGGTGCATTCTGAGAAGCTAGTGAAAAAATCTAATGATCTGTCAGAGGACTTGACACTGAGGATACTTGATATTTTAAATGATTTGTTTCTGGGCATCTTGATAGACACTTAACTCCTAAAGACTGCCGCGGAATGTGTGACTACTTGCGGATACCTGTTAGTATGAGGGTCACGTAAAGCAATTGCCGATTCGCTTCTTGCATGCATCGTAAGATCTGGTAATATTCAAGCCGAACGACTTCTTTTCCTAACGAATGAGTGCTTTGCGTACCCAACCATACGCCAAATTGAAGTAGAGCGATACAACTTCGAGGTCGCTTCAAGATTTCCTAGTTACCCAGATGGGGCACACAAGATGATAAAAAAATGTTGATTAGTGTGTTGAGCATCCTTTGGTTTTGATAGTCGCATGAAATAGTTATGATGCTGTAGACTATATAGATCTGACGTGGAAAAGTAATATGGTAGTCGAATTAAAAAGCTCTCGATACAGGCTCATCGATTTTTGTCAAAAGCGACCGACGCGGTTATAGCGCTGCTAGATGCCGCCAAGATTTTGTTGCTGTTTCTAGCAACATGAAGCCCGATCGCTCTTGATCCATTGTACATCAGATACATTTTGCTGGTTGAGGTTCTCATTTTGGTGAAACATTTAAGCGAAGTTCGATAAATCGTCTGAACAAAAGCTGACAAAAAGCGCATGAAGGCAGTATCGAAGAGTCAAGTGAGTAGTGACATACTGAATCGTTCCATCATGACACGGTGACATCATTGTAAACTAATGGACTTTGTACAGATAGTATATCTGTACAATGATTTAATCGCTGTTTAACGCGTTGTTGGTTTGATAATCAAACCCCAAAAGAAAAGATTACTATAGTTTCTTTGTCTTTATCTTCCTACCATTGTCATATCTATTCTACCGTATTATACAATTTGGACAGTAAACCATTAAAAGGACGAGGAGACGTGGCTGCTGGCTTGGAGCTCCACAGTGAACCTTAAACACCGTGGTTGTCATTTGGGGAATCGAACCTCAACCATGAAAGGGGCGCCACAACATAACCACTAGGCTAATCTAAGTGAGATATCCGTTCGAACAAAAATTGTAATACTGATGCATGTAAATATACATATAGCCGCAATATCATTCTTTTTCAGCCTTTTTATTAAGCGGCGTAATCTTAACGCTTTCACACGCCGTTAATGCTTGTTAAATCTTGACATAAGTGTGGTCTTGATACCCGCTGCCTCGCGTATAAAAGCAATCATCTTGTTTGCGAATTATCTGCAAGTTGACGATTTGTGTCGATATATTCGATTCTCAAAATTCTTTCTTGAACATATTCGCGAACGAAGCGGTGCCTTATGTCCTCTTGCTCCGTCCGAGCATTGTCGTCCCCGGTAAAGATCCCCATGTAGGACAGAGCAGTCTGCATCACAAAGAATGTTTGGTAATTCAATTAAGATGCCACGTATGCATTTGGGAACACCATACTATAATCTTCTTTTCTAAATTTTCTCAATGCATACAGAAGGATATACCTTCACAAAATTAAAATGTGGATTTAATTATATCATCCTTTCCATAAGGCCAAAAGTAGTTTGAAACTTCTGCAGACAATTTGTTGGGGTTCACTCTCCGATCAACAATGAAGCACCTAAGTAAACAAGCAAAATTATAGGCCTTCTTTGCCTAAATGGCAAAGAGCAGCTTCTGGACTCTTTGGTGTTTCCTCCATTCTCAACCGATACGGTGACAAGGGGTTCTGCATGGAACGTTTCTTTCTTTGGCGCCGGATCAACAATCGTGATGATCCGATCCGGCCCATCGCAGCTAAGCGGGATTATTGGCGGACATTTGGTCATCTGGAGAACAAGAACAACATGGGACCTCTGCTTCGACGAATCGGCGCTGACAAAACTTCTAATCACAACAAAGCAAAATTAAGATCTGGCTACCGTAATATTACCTCTAGCGACACTATCAGCTCAGACTCTACGGCCTGACGAGGTTCTCACGTGTTTGAATCCGATAAAAAGCCACGCCACCAAAAGTTCTAGAATGGCTGATGGTTAAAGTGCATCTTTCCACGATGACGTGTTGATCGATCCTCGTGATCAACAATCGTCTCAACTAATAAACGACGCTTTTCACGAGAGTGTAACAGCGGAGGTGGAGTCGAACGAGAAAATGATTGAGCGACTCTGGAGGTGGATGAGCGCTCAATTCGAGCAAATCGCGGCGTTGCACCAGCGCTGCTCAA